CGGTTTTTTAAAAAAAATACACATGGTTCAGAACAGATTAACCGTAATTACATTGAACCTTATGGGGAAATTTGATTCGGGACGCGACCAAAATCGGTTGGCAACCAAATTCGGAGGGGTCAGAACGGATTAACCGTATTTACATTGAACCTTATGGGGAAATTTGATTCGGGACGCGACCAAAATCGGTTGGCAACCAAATTCGGAGGGGTCAGAACGGATTAACCGTATTTACATTGAACCTTATGGGGAAATTTGATTCGGGACGCGACCAAAATCGGTTGGCAACCAAATTCGGAGGGGTCAGAACGGATTAACCGTATTTACATTGAACCTTATGGGAAAATTTGATTCGGGTTGCGACCAGAGTCGCGGAAGGAATTAAGTTCGTGACCCGAGGTACCACTGTATTTGGTGGCCACTCAGCACAGTCGATCCTCACTGGGGTGTTCTGGAGTGAGGACGAGCCCCTTACGGCGATGCATGATAAAGGAAGCAAGAATTACAGACGTCAGGAAGGTGTTTTCATGCGTGGATTAAATACAGAACCTTGGAACTTAATTAAGAACGTCCAGTTCTTCTTTTACGGAGTTCTTTGCAGCAGGATCTCTTTGAAAATGTTGAAACTTTTCCTCCCATACTTTTTGCAACCTGGAGTGCGCTGCCCTTTATGAAATAAGCTGCTTCACAAATTCCTCTCCTATCTGTTGATGGCTTGTAGCTAGCATTCCCCCGGTCACTTTCCCAGCCTCCCCACAAACTAGGAAAAAAGAGAAGAACTTTTTTTGTTTTAAAGGGAACAGGTCTGTTCAGTGAGCCAAACATGACTTGGAGTGTGCATGGGCACCCAGGCCCTAAGGAAGGCTTTAGAACTGGGCTTTTCAACTTCTTTAGGTTATGGAAGCTGAGGAGAGGAGAGGAGAGGAGAGATCCAAAATCCCTGATCAAGAGAGCTCTAGTGACAGAAAACTGGCTGCATTTGAGTGAACTTTTGGGGGGGGGGGGTGGCTCTTAGTCTTCCACAGAACTTCATCAAATTCTTGCAGAACCCACTTTGCCAGACCTTGCCTTAATATATTGGAGGATACATACATATACATACATACATACATGCCTTAATATATTGGAGGATACATACATATATGTATACATGCATATATATATTGAAATACAGATTTTTTTCCTGGGCCCTGTCCTTTTCAATATTTTTATTTAATGACTTGGAAATCAAAACATGAAAGGACTGCTTTTCAGATCTGCAGTCAGGCCCAAAATTGGGTAGGATAGTTAAGTAAGTAAACAAACCCAAAATCAACTGCATAGGCACAGAGTGGGGGATACCTAGCTTAGCAACAGTAGTTGCGTACGTGTGCGTATGAATAGAAGTTGATTACTAATTGAGCGCAGTCTCAGGAGATGGCGGGACCTGGCCAGTGGCGACTCAGAAAGAAATATAATCAACACGGTACTATGTCTAATCGTGAGCAGCTTAAGAAGGGTTCAGCAGAACTGGAACTGATTCTCAGAAGACCGTCAGGGGACTAGAAAGTCTTAGGAAGGCAGACTGAAGATGCTCAGGCTGAGTAGACCTGAGAAGAAAAGCCAGAGATATGACAGCTCACTTCTAATCCTGAAAGGATGCCACAGCAAGAAGACGACCGAGCCTGTTCTCTTGTTCTCTCTCATTCCTGAGCACAAAACACAGAGTAATGGAGTTAAGGGACAGGAAAGCAAGTTCCAGGTGATGGTTAGGTAAAAAACTCACAATAGAGCAGTACGAAAGGGCAGTGGAGCTGATTATCAAGGGAGATGGAGACCTCACCTACGTTGTTCAAGCTGAGACCAGACAATAGAAGAGAATCTCTGTAGCTCAGGGTTGAACTGTGAAGTCCTTGGTGCTCTCTGAGCTTGGTGGTTTGCTTGCAGACATCTCATTACCCAACTAGGTAACATCATCAGTACTGCTGAGTGTGGGGTTTGCTCCCTGTTTATATACAATATCTTGCCCTGCCAGTGTGGGTGAGGTGTGGTTTTCTCC